ACCGTGCTGGCCAGACAGAAGGCACCTGGCAGAAGTCAAATATATTCCCCACCCTCTTGTTAGCATGACACATCTCCTTTTTGCCTCCCAGCCTAACCAGGCTCCTCATTTCTGCCATAAGAAGCCGGATGAAAGCAGCTCTGCTGGATGAACACGATGCCCTGTTTTCAGATTGGTCTCCTGCTCCATGTTTGTGCCCGATTATCATCTTATATTTCCTGAAAGATATAATAATTCTTGGTTGCTATCGATTGTGTCCTGTCTTCTTACATGAAGGGGTCAAATGAGCCATCAGCCTGCACTGGTAGCAGCTGAATCAAAGAACTACCACTATGGTTAAAACAAGCAGCTTTATTCTGACTGCACTTACTTGGCTTCAAGATGTTAATGGGTTGTTTGCTACTGGCTGTGGTTTAAATTGTGACCTTTCTTTCCTTAGGGGACATGGGAAACTTATACAAAGAAGACCCCAAATCCAGCTGTAACAAAAGACTTCGGGTTGTTTCTTGCCCTCTTTACTTATTGTCAAAAATATCGGAGAGCCGGGAGAGGAAGCTATTCTCTCAGCTAATTACCACAACTATTCTATAATGGCTATTCTGGATGAATTTTTAATGAAATGTGCACTTGTCAGTTTGATATTTCATAACTTCCAAGTCTAGCCCTTATCTCCTAGCAATCCATAGAAAAAAGACTTTTCCCCCCCTCCGAAAGCTACAGCCAAGGCAGTTGCGAAGGAAAGGCACTTTGTGTAGTTTCCCTTGTGCCGATCAAACTAAAATAAAATTACGTGCATCTGCTCTATAGTACAGTGACTGGCAAGAATATGGCTTGATACTGAAAAAATGCTGAGCCTTTGCAAGTCCCGCTGAAATCCACTTAGGATCAAGCCCATGGTACTATAATTAACAAAGATAAAAATACTTTGCTTTTGTTTAATATCCTCTCTAGCTGCACACTCCTCAAATCAAATGCCAGAGCCCATACCAAGTCTAACTAGTTGCTTTAAGTCCTAAATATTCTCCAAGTCCAAGCCTATTTATGGAAAAGGAGCCATTTTATTGAAATGCTGTTAAAGTACATGCAGATGTTCTGTGGATCCTGGTAAACGGGCATTATAATACTGAAAGCCATGCTAACACTGCGCACTTTTAATGCCCTCTGACTCCATAATGGAACAAGAAGGAAGGAAAGCATGGCTCTGTGAAGCCAGGTCTGACCCACTATGGACACCCTGTGGTACTATGTTCCTCTGACCACTCCAGACCCATTTGATGAGGGCTACACATCATCCTTACAGAAGGGGAATTAACCATAATATATGGGGAAAATTTAGCTCTCCGCTCTATCTGGAGTTCCCATTACACTTCACCATCCCTTACAGTTTATCCCACTATGCCACTGGCTTAGCAGTCAGCCTATTTAATGATGCTTACTCCTTACTGTGTCTTTCTACTTTCACAGCCCTTTGCCAAGGTCATGAATTTGCAAGTTGCTGTTGCTTTGATTTCTGCGTAGCTTTGGAGATTTGGCAGGGTTTTTTTGGGGGGGTGGGGTGGGGGATGACTTCTAGAAGGTATAAACATCAATGAGAAACCACAGTCTAACTGCTGTCCTAGCAGCTTTAATGACGGCTGACCTGGGCCTGATCCTGCCGGGGGCTCCTAGCTGTCTGCTCCACCATACGGCATCTTGCAGAAGCCTGCCTCTGTGTGGGGTTGAAAGAAGATGGATGACACCGAATGGGAAGTTTAGAGGGTCAGTTTAACGTGTCCCCTTGCAATGAAACAGACAAACATCCCCTAATAACGGGTACCTGGCTTCGTTATGCATGACATTAATTCAGACAATACCTTAGCAGTGGAGAGGAGGAAGAGGGAGGAGAAATCTTTCCGTGAGATTCAGTGCATGATCTACTGTGCTCTTTTTTTGGCTTTGTTTTTGTTTTTACTAAAGGGGCTCTTAGAAACCTTGGCAATCACTATTTCAAACTGTTTCCCCCGGTCTTTTGTAAAATTGTCAAGATCAACATGCCAGGAGCAGAATTAGCTTTCTTTCTCTCTTCCCTCTTATGGTTTTATTATTCTGTGTCTTCTGAGGGCACAGTTTATTCAGAGTAATTAAAGCACACTGATACAAGTCCATACTGTGATGGAACAGTTTTGATTTTAATTTTATTTTTTAAATTTCTCTCTCTGTTCCCTGTTTTTTCAGAAGCCTGAGGCTATGGCAATGGTAATCTAAAACACAAAGCCCTCTTCCAATGCATTTGTGCTTTTAGATGTCAACCTATTCCATTCCTGAGCTGGGGATGCTGTTGGCCTGGCCCTTTGCTTTAGACAAAATTGTGACAGCAACAACTTATGCCTGGGAAAGGCTCCTCTTTTGTCCCTCCATTTCCCCAAAGCCACCTAAGGCTCAAAACGCCTCCTTCCTCTGCAAAGGAAAGAAAATATCACTTGATTTCTGTATGATCAGAAAGATCATTTCACTGGAGTTGTGTAAGATTGGATCCCACCTAAAGACTGTGCCACTGCCAACTCACCTGAGCAAGCTGCCCAAGCTCCCTGTTCCCCGAGCAGAGCAACCCACTTTTAACATTACACGATAGCAAGAATGATATACAGCTGGCCTTGTGCTTAATAGCTGCACAGTGTACCATCCTATAGTTTATCCTGCAGTAGCCGTCTGTGTTTCCAGCGAATTTATTTTGTTCTGCTACTATATAAACAAGTCCCATGACGGGAGACGAAAATACTGTATACAAGGGTATAATCCCATTTCTCTAAAGGACAACGTTAGCAATGCTCAGCGCGGCGAAGGCACGCACTTATTACTCGTTCCGAAGGCTCTGCAGTGAAAAAGAACAAACATGCATGAAAAAAGCTTCAGCTCTGTCCACTTGGACGGGAACTTTAAAACACATCCTATTCACCACAGTCGGTTCCACCAATTAGCTCGCCAGCTGAGCACACCTAACGTGCACCAACAGTGCTTTAAGTCACATTAAGTCTCCTCTTTTCTGCAAATTTACTGTGGCTACTAAGGATCTGGACTCCATCTCAGAAACAGCAACTGAGAAGGGAGACTGGCATTTTAGATACTAGATTTTTTTTTTTGAACTAGCATATCTCCTCTCATAGTATAAATACCCATAACTGGCAAATTCATAGATTCTTCTTATTGCTGTTTTAATATTAAAACAATCCCCCTCCCCATGCTCTACATGAAGCAGAAGATGCTTGGAAATGATTTCTTTTTGTTACTCACATCCAGATTTGTATATCAAGTACTAAACAATTTAAAGTGAAGTCTGGGGTTCTCTTTAGGGACAGGGCTGGAAGGACACACATGGGAGTGTCTTATTGGTACCATCAGCAGACATACAGCTCTGGATGACAGAGAAACCAGCAAATGCTACATTTTCTTCCCAGCTCTAAAAATATGTCAAACGACTTTGAGGAAAGGATGCCAACTCTTCTGCATTTGAGAGTTAAATATTTTCAAATCAGTCATTTCAAATCAAGCAATTACAACAGAAAATAGTGACAGTGGAAAAAACTAGGCACAGGCTAAAGAAAATTCTGCATTGCCAGACTTGACAAATCTCAAGGAAACCATGAAATGTGTTTCCACCCAGGAACTGCATACAAATCAAAGCTGCATTCTCAAACACCTGCAGCACCAGTTAAGAATCCACTGTGTTCACCCCGAGTCTCTCTCGCTATAATGCTGAAAGAACATATATCTCCCTGCTGAAATGCCCCTCGGAGACACCCAGCGCTGGGAGTCACCCAGCGCTTGCTATCACATTCCCATCATCCTTCCCACACCCTTCAAAAGTCCAAAAAGGCCCAAATGTCAGTTCTGAATCTTGACAAAGAACAGAGGCAATGAGGTTACTGCAGAGAAAAGTTGTCACTTATGTGCGAAGCAGGTAAGAGAACACACACGTGCACACGAACACACAGATGCACATGCACGCACACAGATGCACACGTACACACCACGAACGACATAGCTGTGTGCTCTCCATGGCTGAACCAAATAGATCCTCTTCTAGACATTCAACAAGGCAACCTTCTCTTTCGATTACTATATGCACAGGGCAGTATCATCACAACTGACTTAGGTCAAGTTAGCCTTTAATTTGTCTTCATTATTTTGGAAGGAAAAGTGACTTACGCTAGAGACGGCAGGCCAGGAATTGGTAACGAACATAATAAAAATCACAGCAGAGTTCCCTAACCAGTTTGCCCCTTTTAGCCATTGTGCACAAGTCAAAACTCGTGGCTGAGGTATAGACAGTCTGGGTTAGAGGAAGGAAGGTTTGTCTCACCTTTTTTGTAACATATTCAAAAGCTGATTTATTCGAGATGTTTGCAGAAATGGGAGGGGAGGAATACATTTTTATTTTATTTAATTAATTATTTTTAATGGAGAGGGAAGTGAGGAAAAATGCATGGAGGAAGTGGCTTGCAGCTGGGTGTGAAACACTGCACCTCCAGAATGACTGCTCTAATCCAAACCAGGTTGGGAGTAGCCAACCGCTATCCAATAGATCTTGAATGGCCTGGATGTGAAATTAGTTGACAATCCCAGTCCAGCTGCTAGGGGACAGGTGCCTGTACACATGCAAGAATTATGGTAATTGCTGGAAGCTTCAACAAAGAAGCTAGGGATTAAACAGACTTGTCACTGAACTACATGTTGTTTCTCAAGTTCTGGGGGGAAGAGACACAAAGGCAGTGGAGCGGAGACCTGGAAAGGCCCTTGGCCTCTGCCGTACCTGCTCACTGGATGGAGAACTCAGTTTCCTGGGCTGCTGGATCAGCAGTTCTCCCCAGCTTCACATGCCCAACACTTAAACTTATAAGAAACAAGACTTGGAAAACCACCCAAGAGCCATCCAACAGCATCCCTGTGGACCAGAGAACAGGCCCAAGGGGCAACTTCAGAGAAGGGAAAAGCAAAGGGAAGGGAACATTTAGGTTTATTACCAGAATATCCTCCTGAGGATTTGATATACATCTGCCCATACTGCTCTTCCACCATGGTGTCATATGCCTCGTCGTCTTCATCCTCTTCCTCATTGTGGTAGGAAGTCGGACTATCTGTAGTGGGAATGCTGCTGGCACCGGGGCTCGTCCGCTCCCCCTGGGAGTACTGCACTTGCTGCACGTTGGGGATGAGAGTCGCTAAATTGGGCATTCCATAGTAGGAGACACGAGATAACTTGAGGGGCCCAGTGTTCGAGATACTCCCTCCTGTACTGTCCCGGGTACCGGCCTCCAAGGATCGCTTGGTGGGGAGGCCTGACAGAGCGGAGGGCTGCAGCTCGAGATTTTCATGTTTCACCCGTGTGAGGAGCGGAATGGGCATGGAGGGGGACATGACATAGGGCGCAGAAGCAGACTGCAATTGGTTACACGGGCTCTGCGGCTCCGAACTGGGGTCTTCTATCATGGTGGTCTGAGAGTCACAGTGGGGAGAGCTCACTTTGAACATTAAATCTGTCCCTTTTTCCACGATGTGTTGGATCTGTAGGAAGCCTGCCGTGTACATCACGACAAGCTGTTCGCTGGCAGCCATGGTGAGCTTCCCGGTGTAACAAAAGGAGAGGATTTGCTGGAAGCAGGCTGGTGGCACGGTACCTGGGAGCTCAAATGCATTTTTGCTGTTCCCGCTAAACAAGTCTCTGAAGTACAGGCTGCTGGCTGCCAGGACTGCACGGTGCGCCTTAAAGACTTGGCCTTTGACGACTATGGAGACATCACAGTAGAGCCCCAGAAGCCTCTGCTCATTCAGGCAGCCCAAGACAGTGTTCCCGAAGTTGGGAATTTCTATGTGCAACATCTGCGACATGGCTCAGGATTAGCTGGAGCTCCTTAGACATTCAATGCAGAAATATCCAAAGTAGGGCACATCTGAAAAAACCAAGAAGGCAGGGAGAAAGGAACAGATTTTTTTTGAGAGTTCTCTGGAAAGGACAAGAACAAATGAATCAGCCTAAAACTATTACAGATTCAGCGATGACCCCAAGGGCTGCTGTCTAATACCACTTACAGAATTACTTACGACTTTCTAAATAAGCCTTTAAAAAAAAAAAAAAAAAAAGTTTTTGTAAAGGATAAAGAGTATTTCAAAAATCAAATATTTTTGTCAGGTTGTGGTTTATTCAAACAAACATTATTGATCTACTGCTCTGAGATTTACTTTAAACAGGAAAATATGTATAGTAATAGGGGAAGAGTGAACAGTGAAGCAACCCTCAAATAGTCAACAGACTTTTGGAAATATTTGGGGGGGGAGGAAGGAGGGGAGGACACGACTGCAGAAACCCAAACTGAGCCATTTAGGAAACAGCATACGATTTTGCCTTAAATAAAAGCAGAATTCTCTCTGTACAGCTACTGCAATGAAAAAAACAGTGCTAAGGAATCCAGAGGATGTCTCTACATTTATACTAGGAAAAAAATAAAAGTCTTTAAGAGTCAAACTACTTCTAAATGGAATTATCCATGAAATGGGGAGAAAAGAAAAAAAGACCTCTCAGCAATGAAGCCAGGTATTTGAACCCAAGCAAAGACAGTCACACTGCAGTGAGTTTAATGCCAGAAAGCTTGCTGGTTTTCTCCATGAAATGCAGACTAGGACAGGAGAGTCCCAACATGGGTTCTCCTGTGGCAAGTGCCCAGTGATCTCTTCCCAGCCATATTAAAAAGGGATACTGTAGATGCCACTGTACAAGTCTCATCTGAGGCAAGACATGGTAACTACCGCATCTCCGAATGCAGAAACAGCAGAACGCCTCTGAACAATCCTGGGTCAAAAACAGCTTAATATTGTCAGGCTATCGGGCTTTAGAGGTTGCCTCAAAATTACAGAACAGAGCATGCTATTTTTAGGCTTTCATCACCCTTTTTTGCCACAAGAATAATTTCCCCTTTTCTATAAAAAATAAAAATAAAAGCAGGCTTTAAAGCAAAGTGATTAAAAGCACCCACAGAAGCAGCGAGATCCAAATAGTTAATAAGTGCAGAAAACTCCAGAGAAACCAAACCACTGCATATTTAGCAAAACCGAGAACCCTTTGCCAACATCCCCCTTCACCCCTCTGAATCCTCCTCCCAAAAATCAGACCCGATCTCAAATCTCGCTTGCATTCGACAGTTCAGAGCAAAGTGGACTGACCTCGCCCACAAGAGCGACGCAAAAAGAAGTTTATCGGAGAGCATTTAAAAATAAAAAGAAAGGAAAAGGAAGAAAAAAAAAAAGCAAAGCAAAGCAAAGCCTCTCCTTGGAAAAGAAAATAATCACCCACAAAGACGTGCTCTGTTCAAACTGCTGGAAAAAGAATCCGATCAGCCAGGCCACTGTATCTCAGGAAGAAAAGAAAAGGCAACTCCCAGCCAAATTTATCTGCATGGCTTCAAAAAAAAAAAAAAAATTTCTTCCGAGCCAGGAACTTCTGTGTCCCCTCATCTGACACCATGCGAACATACCTTACACAAGGACCGATCCCAAGTACTGCTGCTCAGGGACGGCTTGCTAAGTCCCTCTTTAGCACCCCAGCTGCTACACTAAATGCAGCACCGAAGATCGCTCGGGGGGGGGCAGGGGGGGGGGAAATAGTATCAAAACCTCCGTTTGTATCTGCTGTAGCTCAAGCTTTTACCAAGTCAAATCTCCACGGCAGTGCATAGCATCTAAATGAATAGGCCGGATGCAGATTACCATTCAGGCTGCTCTCTGCAATGAATAGAGCCCTTTGATTAGGGACCTGAAGTAAATGCCAGTTTCAGACCGAAGCTTTAAAAACAGAGAAATATCAGTGCCAGAGGAATGCTCTCAGTGTTGGTACAAGACAGACTTTTGATGAGTCACTGCAATGCAAACAAAGATGGCAGAAATACTGTACTGTATGCTGATGAAATGCTTAGTGGTGCCACGGCAACTGAGACAGGTTTTAAATTTATAGTGCAGTTTTGCATATGAATTACGCTGTAAACTGCCTCCTCTGCCATCTAGTACATCCAGAGTGTCAAAGCATTTAAACTATTCCAAACAGTCTGCAGAGCTGGCGCTGCTGCTGTTTAACTCCTCCAGCGTGAGCAAGAAATTAGTCAAAGGAAGCACATATATTCCAGAGAAAAAAAAAACTCAACCCTCCCTCCCCAACACCAATGGAAAAAAAAAAAAAAAAGGGAAAAAAAAAGGCTTCTCATTCCTCCGCCCTGCTTCAACTCCTCTCTCTCTGCCCCACAACTGCAGCTGCAGGGTTTAAAACCTGCACAAAAATCTCCTTGAAGGCAAACAGCTAAAAGCAAAAAAACCTGGGGATGCCCAATTCTGTATGAAACGCAGATCGTCCTAAATGTAGACAGAGCAACATTCATGATGTTATCCCCCCCCCCAACCAAACCCATTCCTTAACACACAAGAAAGCCTTTCAAATACAGGAAAAATGTTTACCCCTTGGGGAAAGCTTCTATCAGGCTGTGGCTGAATCCACTAAAAGCAAATCCATTTGCTTAAGTAATGAAATCCTAGTCACATTGTCTCCCAGATTCCGATTTTAAATTACCCGAACATTTATTGAGTATGTTTACTGCTTTTTCTGGGAAAGGGGGTGGGGTCTTGCTTTTCTTGCTTGTCTCCTGCCCAGATCATTTTTGTTCCAATTAACACTCTCTGGTCTATTTGAACAGTTTGGCTGATATGATGTCAACACAGTTAACATTTCACAACTTAAAAGAAAAAAAAGACTGGACTCAAGATACCTTCGGTCAAGAATGACATCACTGAACGCCAGTGTGGATGTCCCTGCTCGATCGCTTCCTTCCTTCTGCGTGCACCCCTCAGATTTTACTGCTCCAAAAATGTATATTTGCTGCATTAAGTTCAGCTCTGTAGAAGTAGAGGGAACTGCTGCCTCTTTGGAGACTATAGGGCTGGAAGTGTGCCTGGCTTTCCTTTTCTTTTCCAGCAAAAGACACTAACACATTTACTTTACATCTCACAGGACCAGCAATCTTATAACAGCACTTGGCAGTCCTGTAATCCTTTCAGCCGAAGATCTCAGAGTGCGTTGCAAATGTTTAACAATTTATTTCCAACACAATTTGCAGTGGGCAGGTTTCTCCTGTTCTGCTGATGAGGTAACTATGGCATAAAGATGTCCAAGATCGCAGTACGATGTACTGTTGGGAGTAGATGCCACAACTTATGAAACTCCTGGACTCAACTCGGTTTTACCATTCTTCCTTGCAAGGCTGGTCTGTTCTTTTACAGTTAAATAAATCCTATCTGGATTTATATCTGGAGAAACTACATTCCCCCACTCCAGCTGTCTTCCCTAAGACCATGAAGAGTAACACACTGTGCTGTGGAAATGCTTGGGATTAAGTTCTCGTAAAAGCTCCACTATTATACAACAACCTGAACCCAAGGCAGCAAAATCGCTAGCCTTGAAGTTTCTGCTCAAACCTCAGCTCTTGCTAGAAGAAACCTCAGCAATATCAGCTCATGAAATGGGTCTCAGTGGATCATATCAAAAGCAGGGATCTCTAGCAAATGAAAGGAAACCCCCAAAACTTACCACTCAACCTCCTAAGAAAGAAACTGCTGCTTGATGGAAAGCCAGTCTTGGGTCAAGAAGGGTTTTTCTCTCTTTTCTTTTAGGAATAGTTCCCTTAGATGTATGAGAGGCAGCAGATGGTACTTTTTATTGCACGCTTATCAAAATCCTCCTGCTTCTGAAAATTAGACCATGTAATTTGGATGGAAAGAATTAAGGGCTCTAGGTCTTCTCCAAGGCCTCCATCAAGAGGAATGTCCCAGCAGAGGCACTGTGCAGCAGACGAGCACTGCCTGCATTTTATACCACAAATGTCTGCTCTCGACTGGGACACCAGACAAACAGATGCTTCTACACAGAAAACTTTAGGAACTCAAAATGCAGGAACATTTTATGAGAACTTGGAGCAGTCTCCTTCAAAACGAATGGAGTACAAGTCCGACTGGAGTACTGTATTTAAAAACTCACATTTCCAAGTAACTTTTCTTCAGCTACCATGCTATTCACCCACCTGCATCTCTTCTATCTACTACAACATCAGATTGAACTAGTTTCTTTTATTGCTACAAAATAAACCAAGTTAATATCAACATTTTACATGGAAGTCCAGAAGAGTATCTTCTACAGCAAACGGGCTTAAAAGTTTCAACCTGCCTTTAAATCAAACGATTCGCCACCTCCAATGAATGTTGCATTGAAATGAAAAATATATTGATGCACTTTCCCTATCAACGAAGAAATAAAGCCAGGAAAAGCACACGTGATTATTTCATGCAATGAAAGTCATGCCGGTCCAGGATCTATTCAAGTCCTCGACCAGAATCAAAAGAACACAGCTACTCCAAGAGATTATTGGCAGATTTGACTTCAAATCTCCCATGAAAAGAGCTGGAAACTAAAGCCTTATCCTGTTGGAAGGCTTAGAAAACAACTGAGAAGCTTGGACAATACGGTATTCATGTCTTGCTAGGATGATTCCTAAGGGATCCCACATTAAAAATCGCATCATCCTGATTACCGGCTTGCTTTCTGTCCAAGTCTCACGCTATGCTAGCAGCTACTACTCTCACAAACCACTGGTTAGGGATCAGGCTTTCAGTTGGTAATAAAGTGATTGTTTTGGCCTTTAGATTTTTCGGCAGATAAAAAGTGCTGAAATAACTTTCAAATAAGTTGCAACAGAGAGCAAGATGGTAATCAGGATACAATTTGAAGTCCGAATGGATCATGACCTGCCAAGACTAGAAGCATTTTAGCAAAGCCTAAGCTGTCAGAACCAAAATCATCTTCCAAGTGCTAGTTCTGGCCTAATTCTTGCCAAAATAGTTTTTGCTCCGTATTTTTCCT